AATTGAACAACCTTATAAAAGAATTGAAAATATCTTAGTCTTTATTTCTAGAAACTTTCTTAATGAATTTTAGAGGAAAACAATTTCATTTTCTACATTCATTAAGAAAAATAGAGAGAAAAAACTCAAAAATCAATACAAATTCTTGAAGAAAATATAAGAAGCGACTTTAACAATCTAAATGAAAAATATTTAGCAGAATTAGCTACTAAGAAAACACTTTTGGAGCAAATTAATGAGGAAGATGTAAGAAGAACTCAATTTCTAAAAAGAGCAAAATAGTATGAAGAAGGAGAAAAACTGACCAGCTAATTTTGTCACCTGGAAAACAGGAATTTTACTAGTAAGATTATAGGTAGTGTTATGAAAGATAACGGCGATCTGATTACAGATGGTAGTGGTATTCTAGATGAACTGAAACAGTTTTACAGTAATTTGTATAGAGATATTTACCAACATGAGGAACAAAATGATATAGATTTAAGTACTATTAACATTCCAAAGATAACTAAGAAAGAATTTGAGGATTTGGAAAAAGAATTAGCTTAGAAGAAAATAATAAGGCTGTTTTATCTATGAAGAATGATAAAAGCTCAGGAATTGATGGTTACCCATTGAATTCTTTCAATGGCTTTTGGAGAGATTTAAGTCCTTGGGTTATAAATAAATAAATAATTAACTGTTACAATGAACTGGGGAATTATTACTTGTTTACCTAAACCAAATAGAGACAGAAAATTCCAAAAAACTGGCGACCTATTTCATTACTAAATTCCCTTTACAAAATAGTAAGCCCATGTATAGCAAACAAGTTTAAATCAACACTAGATACAATTGTACATGAAAATCAAACAGGTTTTATACCTGGGAGATGTATGGGTGAAAATATAAGACTTCTATATGATATTGTCTTTGAAACAAGAAGGGTAAATAAACACGGCCTGTTATTACTAATAGATTTTGAAAAAGCCTTTGACACTATCTCCAAAACATTTATAATACAGGTAATGAAAGCGTTTGGATTTGGGCCCAATATTATCAAATGGATTCAAATTCTGACTGGTAATAATACAGCTGTGATACAAAATGGGCACATCTCTTCCTTTTTCCAGCAGGAACGGGGGGAAAAAAACCCTTAATGATACAGAACAGAAACTTGGACAATATGCGGATGATATACAGCTATATCTAGATGGATCCGAAACAAAACTCAATGTTGCATTTGAAACACTGAATAAATTCTATCAAATGTCAGGATAGTCCTAGACCAAATGTTAGAAAAGTCCCTATCTTTTAGGATCTCTCAGCAGCAGTAAAAGCGTTATCCAGTAATTGGTATGACAACTCCCACCCTCCAGAGATTCTTGTCAATGTGGAACTAGACACAGAATGTATCAGGTTGCTGAAAACAAACAAGGATTACCCCGCTGTTGAAACAGTGTCCACATGTTCATAGACCACCTGCATGAGTATTAACCGCATGGTTTAATGGACGGTGACAAGCACTGATGTTCAACATGATCAGGATATGCAGTATGGGTGATAAGGCCTTGTGTATCATATTACCTGATAATGATGTTATCTCTACATTTGGCCTAGGAGTAAGGACTCAAAATGAACATAAACAAGACAAAAGCTATCTGGATAGGCTCAATGACAGGTAGTAATATAACTTTAGCCAATGACTTTTATCTTGACTGGCACAGTGGAGACTTTGAAATCTTAGGAATAACACTTAATGCTTCTCTTAAAGACCTTTGGGTAATTAACACAAGAAAACGCCTAGAACATATTAATAGATTACTTGCTAGTTGGCGAAGAAGAAACTTGACTCTTATCGGGAAAATCACTGTTATCAAAACTCAATCAATTTCTTCTCTAGAACATATTTTCTCAGCACTCCCTAACCCGCCAAAAACATTCATCGATGAACTCAATAAAATAATCTATAGATTCATATGGAATACTAATAATAACATTATTGAAGACGAATTCCATTTTATGTTTATTTGTCCTGTATATGAAAATCTAAGAAATAAGTATCTACCACAACTGTCTTTATCTCAATTCAATGTTAATCTATTGTCTTCCTTACTTTCCTGCAAAGAACCTCCAAAACAACACAAAGTTGCCCTATTTATCAACCATGCATTTTTGTTAAGAAAAGAATTGATTAGTTAGAAAGTTGATTATATATGTCATTGTTAAGATGTATCTCTCTTGTATATGGGCCTATGGCCTTTCATACAATAAAGAATTGAACTGAATTAATAAGATTAAAAGGTCTAATATCAGTAGAACTTACGAGGATGGAGGCGTCAGAATGGGTGACATTGAATGTTTCATTAATGCTTCAAAATTATCATCATTGAAATGTCACTTAAGGAAACTTCAAGTTTTAATAGCATCTTTCCCTTAAGTCATTAGTACTTTCTAGGTTCTAATGCTGTTGATTGCTTATCTGGTAATGATAATCCTTATTTGAGAGGGGTTTTATCTGCTTGGAGAGTATTTTATTAACAACACAACTTTGACAGCGATGACTTAGACAAAATCTTGGCTCAGCGACTTTGTTTAAATCATTTCTCTAAATCTTCATACATGATACGAAATTGGTTTAATTGCGGTATACATTATGTCAGCGATATTTGTAATGAAAATGGATTTCTTAGTTTTGAAGATGTAAAACAGAGGTACCAAAAAAGAGGAACCTTCTTAGATTATCATCATTTGTTAAATAACATTCGAGTGAACTGGAGACAACTTGTAGAAAACAGAACTCTCTGCTTAAATCAGTTAAACATTAATAGAGTTTACCAAGATATGATCTCAAATGTTAAAAGTTCAAGGATATTCTATGATTAAGTGATTAAGAACAACAATACCCCTAAGGTACTTGAGTATTGGAATACTGTCTTTCAGCATGATATATGTGGAGTGATGTATTCAGATATTACAGGACATGTACAAATGATTGTAAGCTGTTAGAATTCAGTACAGATTTATTTTACAGAATAATTTATACAAAGAAAGAACTATTAAGATGATACTTTTACTTTTTGTAAAAATACCTCAGAGGACATATTGCATGTACTTTTTTACTGTGATTTAGTTAATAACTTTTGGCAAAATGTAGAACAATTTCTAAATACCCACCTCCAGTGTAATGTCACATTTACAAAATTCACTATCATGTTTGGAGTGTACTCAAACAATAACATACTAAATCATATTATACCACTAGGGTATGTTATGTCCATTGTTCTGGCAGGTTGATTTTCTGTGAATCAACCTTCTATCTGCACGTGCAGAGGTTGATATGTGGATAACAACCTTGGCGGTGCAGGAAACGCACGTGCAACAAGCAATGTACGAGTCCATTCGGCGCCCACGTGGTATAAATAGGTTAGCACCCCCACTCTGCGGGTGATATGGATTCAAAGCTCTCGCCTGACGGCTCGAGCGTTGAAATCCATATCACCCTTGAGGAGGGTGCTAACGTATACTTATACTTCTTGCCAAAAGATTCATTTATGTTTCAAGTGTAAAACAACAAGCACTTTCCCTTGAGGGATTTCTTAAGTTATTAAAAGATATATGTACAACTGAAAAATATATAGCTAGGAAAAAAAATAGCTTAGATCCCTTTACAAGGAAGTGGAAACATTTATATACCTTACTATGTGCTAAGCATTGAACTCTACTTATAATATCAGCTGATATTTCCAGACCCCACTCACTACAATCAAACCTTATCCCTCCAATTCTATATTTTATATGCCCTCTACAGAAACTTTAATGATATCTTATGTATCTAAATATTGAACCACACGTTGAAGTATCGATCAGAGAAAACACCAACCTGCTCCATGAGACCATCGTCATCCCGTATAAATCCAATTCAGTGACACCTGGTAAGCGTACATAACTCCTTGACGGAACGGACGGTCCCATGCTGCATTAAGCAACGTAGTCAAATACAACGCATAACGAACATATTTTTGACACCCACCTGGGTGTACACTATCAGCTGAATCAGATGGAAGCCACAGCTACCATATTTTCCCCCTTCAATACTGATCTACAACAGCATTAATGAAACTAACAATTTTTCTAATTTCCGAGGCAACAGATGTCAGGCATGCAATTTGGTCACACATGTCACGTTAATAATGGTGTGAATTTAATATACAGGAATTGAGTAGTAGAAATATCACATAGATAAATAAAAACAGAATGCCTTTTTCTCCAACATGTTTCGTTCTTTACTCTTCAGGGAGATTGTAGCAGTTACAATGCTACAATCTGTACATACTGTAACTGCTACAATCTCCCTGAAGAGAGTGTAACTGCTACAATCTCCCTGAAGAGACTGTAACTGCTACAATCTCCCTGAAGAACTCTAACTTCTACAATCTCCCTGAAGAGTGAAGAACGAAACATGCTGGAGAAAAAGGCATTCTGTTTTTATTTATCTATGTGATATTTATGGCTGAACACCTGTACTATTTTGGACATTTTATGCGTGTATATATATAGGTTGGAAATAAAAAAAATTGAATCATTTCAAATTAGTTTTAAGACAAGACACCTGAGAAATGGAGCTAGTCGCAATATCGGATCCACAGGGGGCCGACCCATCTGTGTTAATACTAGTTATACCAGTACTACCAACTGTGTAATAGCAGCTGTTAGATACATGTGTGTCCAATATATTAATAATTAATACTCACTCAGTTCGGCTAATTTAGAACGATATCAAAATATCTCGCCCATGGGCGAAAATTTCTACTTTTGCTCAACATTAATTTTTTCAGGTTTGGAAGTTGAACACTGTTCCTGGTTCTTTTGCCCTCAATCACCACCATCCGTTCCTTCACCGACATAGGGGCGCAACCTACGGCAATCAGATTGCCCAATTCGGTCGCCTTTTACGACCAGCAATAAGGTGTTGTGGACCTTTTCTGACCCAGGTCCACACGGTGGAAGAGCTATTAGCGTTACCCAGCACTCACCACGAGGAGGTTGTTCTTCACGAGTGCCCGGTAATACCAGAATACATATAACACCACAATATCACATTGTATGACATAAGATAGTTTCACAGCCTTTACTATGCTAAACATTATCTTAGACAGAGTATACATACTCGTCAGGACTCGTGGAGGAACGTGCACAGTGGTGGCTAACCTGTTGTCGCTGTACCAACTGCTGTAGAGTTTACCACCCCAAACAGCCAAATGTTCCATGTGATTGTTTCTGTGACGTTTATACTCGAAAGGGAAGAGTTCAATCAACCCTGTTCCTGGAACCTGGAACAACGACAGTGCCAACCCTGCACCGTGCACGCCGATAAGAATATCCGTTTCCGTCATTAATTGTATTTGTTCTCTGATAGTTAAAGTCTCTAGTGCTATGGCTTGTACAGGAGTTCCGGGAACAGCGTTTTTCAGCGCCTGAATGAGGTCATCGGAATTATTGAACTGCCTTTTTATTGTGCCCTTGACATTTCTTGGATGAGCTATGTAGTTCCTTCTCAGCACAACGGTTATCTTAATCCTGTCACAATCTATTCTCCTGCCCTGGAATCCTCCTACGCGATTGGAAACCTCATACCGGAAGTCGTCGATATAGGGAATAGGCTTTTCGCCACGCACAATTGGCACATGTTTTGACTCGGGAACCAGGGCAAACTGTTCCAGGAGTGTTGTTGTTTTCAACCATCCAACTCTGACAACGTTCTTGAAGAACAGTTCCCACAATCCGTCCAGACCAGTAGCTGGATGGGCGTCAAGGATGAGAATGGTGGTCTCGGCAGCAGTTCTGTTCATTTCCCGGGCATTCAGATATGCGCTGTACAGCTCTATGACGGTCCAGTACATATTTGCATAGTCGACACGAACAATTCCAACAGTCACTCCCTCTAAACACTTCATATATTTCAGCTCTGTTCTATTTGACACAGTGATTGCGTTGGTCACATCATATACAGATGCCTGATGACGGAACGTTTTCATGTGCCTCGTCAAACCAGGCCTTCCACTGCATAGGGTTCTCAAGAAGCCAAATCCAAAATTGAAATATTCCATACTTTCATTTTGATGTTTAACGTCAGCGATGTTCTCTCCTCCTCTCCTGGCTCCAAAGGCTCTGGATGGATCTAAAATCATGTCTTGTAACTTCATGCCACCAGATGGCAAATGCCCCATGCTCTTTGAACATTCTTGGTCATGCCCATGTATGGTCAGTGATAAATGTTTGGTGCCAAAGAAAACTTTTGTTATTACTAAGACGAGATAGAATGCCAGAACGGCAGATGGGAGGAATTTGAACAGTGACCTGAATATTCTTGAGAAATATCTCAAAGGAAGCATATTTATTAACTATATAGTTTAAACAATACCCTCAACTGACTCAAGAAAATGAAAAGAATAATTATATTGAAAATGCACAATACATATGTGATGATGTTCAGTAACTGGTGGTGGAGAAAGTTCTGCCACTCAGTATACAATGGCTATCTGGAGAGAGTGGTTGACGAGATGGCCTGCAAAACTACTGGAGAGAACAAATCACAGAAACATCACAAATGTTGATGTGCACGGGTCCACTTGAATGCAGCCTGTTCCTTTTCCAACTTGAGGTTATATGCACGTTTGTGATGAGAGTAGAGGTGAAGTATCAAGGCTCACTACTGTGAAAGAGATTTCACAAAATGTATCCTTGTTCAGCAGTGCATGTCGTAAACAAAACACCATACAAACAACTTAAAAAGTATGGATTTCAAACATTATGCCAAAAAGAGAACCATTCTACATTAATCCGTGGATAGGTGGTGGTGGTGGCGGCGGTGCGGGTTCGGGGGTTTGTTGGCAAATGGTTCTGGTTGGTTTTACTTGTCATCTAGTGCGTGAATCGTTGCTCATGATATCAATCACCGGACTGGTTCCAGATTCGATTATTTACACACCGCCGTAAAATAGCTGTATCTTTGGTGAGTGCGGCGTTAGATAACGAACAAACAGAACAGTAATTTCTCATTCCATGTAGCATTATCAACCTATCAACCGCATGTGAGAAAGTATGCTTCAGTTGTACACTTCAATGATGTTATAACAATTTCTCAGGAACGCCACAAACTATTTTAAGAAGAAGGTAATATTGTACTATAAAACAAAACTTACAGAGAATAATTAACTAAATATTGTATCACACGTCGAAGTATCGGTCAGAAAAAACACCTACTTGCTCAATGAGACCATCGTCATCGCATGTAAACAACTCCTTGACAGAGCAAACGACACCTTGTTAAGCTGCATTAAGCAACGTAGTCAAATACAACGCATAACGAACATATTCTTGACACAAGCATTGGGAGCACATCCCACCCGGGTGTTCTCTATCTGACGAAAGCTGATGAAATCCACAGCTATCATATTCTCCCCCTTCAATACTGATATACAACCGCATTAATGAAACTAACTATTATTCTAATTTCCGAGGCAACAGATGTCAGACATGCAATTTGGTCACACATGCCACGTTGATAAAGGTATAAATTTAATATACAGAAATTGAATACATGTATACAGCTTGTTGTTACATTGCCATACATTGGAATGTAACGGTGATTGCATCCGTGCCAAACAAGAGAATAGATTGCCTGATAGTGGTGTTAGGATCTACACCAAAAGGTCGCATATATTGCAATAAAGAAGTTGTATATTTATAGAACTGTCTCTCTTGTTGGTATTACTTGAGGAATTACTCTTTTGTACGACAGAGTCGTTTATAATAAAACAACTATCCGTTCTCAAGGGGTAACATTTATAACGTTAAATTTAATCCGATGAAGCTTTAATTAAATCCCGAAAACAAATCTATTCATACAGCACATGTGACTTGTAGTATTGATGAATTGGCTTTTGCTGAGTGTACTGTGTCGATGTATGTATGTTATATGTATGTATGTATGTATGTATGTATGTATGTATGTATGTATGTATGTATGTATGTATGTATGTATGTATGTATTATGTATGTATGTATGTATGTATGTATGTATGTATGTATGTATGTATGTATGTATGTATGTATGTATGTGTATGTATGCACACACACACACATATATATATATATGTGTGTGTGTGTGTAAGCGCACACACAGAGTGTGTGTTGTCGCGCGACCTCACACATAAGTTTGATACCAACCATTTCAAATTGGTTTTCACCCGAGGCACCTGAGAAATGTAGCCGGTCGCGATATCGGATCCACAGGGAGCCGACCCATCTGTGTTAATACTAGTTATAAAAGTACTACCAACTAGGAAATAGCAGCTGTTAGATACATGTGTATCCAATATATTTACAATTAACACGTCACCATTTTATTCTGGAAGCCCAATAGTCCAGAAACTCTCCGCACTATGGCCACTTTCTGACAGAGAATTTGACACAATTTGACACAACGTGCAGCTGTTATGAGTATATGTAAAGGATGAGAAAATTAAAACAAATTTTGTCGACAACTCAAAATTTAGAAATTATCTTAGCGAGAATGTTTCGTTTTGGAGGTTGTAAATGAATGAGAGTATGTTTATAAGTTTCATGACAAAATATTAACTCATTGTGACTTATTTCGGCTAATTTACAGCGATAATCGAAAAAGATTTGGCCCAAAGACGAGAATTTCTACTTTTGCTCAGTATTCATGTTTTTATCAGCCTTGGAGGTTGTAAATGAATGAAAGTATGTTTATAAGTATCGTGACACAAAATCCAACTTATTGTGACTCAAAATATTTGCCCATGGGCGAAAAAGATGTGGCCCATGGCCGAGAATTTCTACTTTTGCTCAAAATTCATATTTTGTTCAGGTTTGGAGATTGTAAATGAATGAAAGTATATTTGTCAGTATCGTGACACAAAATTTAATCATTTCGACTTAATTCGACTCATTTAGAGCGTTATTACAAAATCTCACCCATGGTCGAAAACATTTGGCCCATGGGCCTGATTACTTCTGCTATAAAAAATATAATTATTTCAGGGTGATGGGGTAGCCTAGTGGTTAAAGCGTTAACTCGTCACGCCAAAGACGCGGGTTCCATTCCCCACATGGGTACAATGTGTGAAGCCCATTTCTGGTGTCCTCCGCCGTGATATTGCTGGAATATTGCTAAAAGCGGCGTAAAACCATACTCACTCACTCATTACTTCAGTACTATATCACACACGTGATTCTTCAATACCTGCTCCGAATATCCACGTTAATGGTGCATGAACTGCTGCTTGCGTTAACAATATGGAAACTGTACAGACTTGCTTGCAGTTACCATCTGTTTAACACAAATAACTCTAAATTATTTATCTACCATGAATTACTGTCGGTTAGAAATTTAACGTTGCTGTAAAAATCATACCTCTAAAAATCGTACCAGCTTAACGTGGGAGATTAACCGGTAGTGATGTTGGTCTTTTATCACTTTGATGAAACCCACCGGTATGGTGATGAGCAATCCTAGATTGTATACTAAACAGTAAGAGAAACGCAAGTTTCGAAAAAATGAAATCTCATAAATGTAAGCGTTCATGTTTATGTATTCTATTTAAAAACGTGACAAAAGCCTGAGTTGCGTTTTTTTGGCTTTTCAGTATATATTATTAGTCAGGTTGATTCCAAATTTGAACTCGCCATTACAGCTTTGCACGGGACACAGTTCGACTGACTGCAGTGTCCCTTCATAGCGTATGATCACTTCCCTAGTCAATCTGGAGAGGTATCAACACGTCGCCAAACTCACTGACGTTGAAACACAACATTTGTACACTCTGGAAACGCCGAGCGAAATACTGCTGAAATCAAGTGCACATGCATTAATTAATTTTTATATATGTGGGCTGTTTGTGTTACGAGGATTGGCAAGTCAGGCAATACGTGGTCATACCGCATACGCAGACCACAAGCTCCATTAAAAACCTCCCACGAGTTAACAGATGTTACGCTATAGCTTGGCTGGTATATACCATTTATTCCATTTTGCTTATCGCACTTTCATAAAAATAAGACTATTTCCAGGTAATGTATTCAAGTGGTTTATTCAACAAGAGACGCAGCCCATCGGCCCACGAAACAGCAGTTGTACAGCAGCCACAATATATACTGCCTACATTAACAGATTTGTCCTCAATTGCATAGAATTCTCAACATACATAGCCAACTTTCTTATAAGATCACTGTTATCACTGTACATTAAAAGATTAAATTTAGCTAATGTTGGAAACACGTAGTATTTCCTAGGAATACACTTTTCACGTACATCGACATGCGCCTGGCATACAAAAAAAGAAGTGGTACTCATCTTCGACATCGTTCATTTTGCATCACAAAATCATTTCTTGGGACATTTGAATATCTACCCATCTCAATTTTCAGTTGGTGAGAACTACATCTAAACTTAGCTAAAGCGACACAAAATTTCCGAATAGTTATATGCTTAATATAATGCTCTGGATATAAGTTAGACTTGTACATAGAATAATTATGTTTTAGAGCCTTGTGACTAAGATGTATGCCAAACTTGCTGATAAATACATTTAGCTCTATCCATAAATTCTGATAAAAACGCTTGATCATTATCAATACACTGGTTATCCCAAACATAACCAAATATCATTTGAAATAACACCTTTCTCAGTTTTGAAGCCCAATTAGATTTACCATGACTTATATATTTAACATTAACATGTCATAACATTTCTTGGGTAAGCGTGAGTTATATTTAGCATGGATAGCAGTTTATACCAATATTTTATACAACGCTTATAGGCGAAGATATATAACGGGTATCTCCAACACTCACCATAAAGGACATGGTTTGACGTTGACGTTTTCACACCAAGAAAATATTTACATGTTTGAACATGTACTCCTTTAATAGCACTGCTGATCTTACATTCAGAATCAAAGTATACTATATAATAAGATTGACATCACTTTAGTATCAAAAACCTTAAAGAAAACTTCATATGGTAATGGTCTAAACTTCGACAGACATTTTACAACACCAAATAATGCTTTTCTAGATTGCAACGATGAATTAATAAACTGCCTATTCCAAGTTAAATTTCCAGAAAATACCACACCTAAATATCTATAACATGAGACACATTCAATGAGGTTGCCATCAAAATACCATTTTTCGCCCCTCGAAAGAACTACGCCGTTTTTAAAGACAGCCACTTCAGCTTTATCTAAATTTACACTTAAATTATATTGGTGACAATACTGTTGTAACACGTCAATTCGAGTTTGTAACCCTCCAATAGTGTCAGATATAAGAACGACGTCATCCGCACACAGCAATAAGAATAAATGAGTCAAGTCTGGATGTAACTGGATGCCAGGAAAACTTGAACTTTCTCTTTTCTCAGCAAGATCATTAATGAACAACGAAAATAGCACTGGGCGTAAGACACATCTCTGACGCACTCCCGCATTACACTTAAACATATCTGAAACTAAATTATTAAATTTAACACACGATTTTACGCTCTCGCGGATAGATTTAATACACCCTAACATTTTTGTCGAAACTCCCTTGTGTTGCAAAACTGTCCACAGTTAGAACGATTAACAAAAGCGAAAGCCTTAGCAAACTCCACAAATAAAGCATAGACTTTACCGTTCTTTTTCCCCAAGAGTCGACCGACAACAGACAGCAAAATGAGGATATTATCCATAGCCGAATAACCATGCCGAAATCCGGCCTCTGATTCCGAATTGTTTTCATACGCATCGCACCAAAACTTTAAGCTAGCATTCAAGACTGAAATATACATTTTACTAAAAATACCCAAGATAGTTACACCTCGATAATTAGATGTAGTGTTAAAATCTCTGTTTTTATGCAATGGGACTATCAATGACTCTGGGAAAACGCTACTATGAAAAAGACCATTTCGTAAAACAGTAAGAAGAGGTAGCAAGACATCACATGAATGCTTAAAAAATCGGCAATAACCTTATCGTGTCCTGGGGATTTTGATGTTTTGAGATTATCCAAAGCAGCTTTCACTTCCTCCTGCGTAATTGTGGAATCCAAATGACAGCAGTAATGCATCAATGTCAATTATGACATTGTCTACGTCAATATTGCTATCATCCACATCAACCGAACCCATATATATATTTCTAAAGTAAGACTGCCATTCCTGCGATGCAATACGTGGTCTAGCAGAGAAGGAAGCACCAGAAGAATGCTTAAGTGTTGACCAAAAGGACTTACTATTATAAGATTATTCATCAATTAACTTCTTAATCTATTCAAATACAAACACCTTTTGTCCCGAACAACAACTGCAAATACATTTCTTGCCTTTAAATACTGTCTCAAACTATTATCACATTTATTCATTTTAAACACTCTATGTAACCTATCTCTCTCACATCGGAGATAGTTACACTCCGGATCATACCATAATTGTTGAGGTTCATGTGTATAACTATCACATTGGCGCTTCTTACAATTGCAACTCGCAGCCTTACATACTGCATCTGTAAACATTTCTATGGCAACATTAATATTTGTAGACATGGATTGTAAACATTATTCAAATATGGACATAATCCCATCTGAAAGCAGATTACCCCTAAACAATTCAGCTTTGTCCTCGACCCATACATAACGGTAGTCATCCGATGCCGCATGTGAAGCATAAACATGCACGTGCGGGCATCCAGCGTCCCAGACATGAAATGAACAAGTTAGTGGTAAATGATCAGAGTCTGCCCTAGATATAATTTTGAAATCATTATAAAGTGTAAACAACATGGGTGAACATATCACTTAGTCAATAACACTTGTACCCAGTTGATTTATGAATGTGTAATCTCCTGAGCGTGCATCAGATCCACAGCGACCGTTCATAATAAACAAGTTTAAAGCGGAGCACCTCTCAATGAGAACTTTTCTGGAGTGATTAACAACTTTATCACAGGAGCGTCTCTCCGTGTCAAGCTTGTCAAATAACACATAAATATCATCATATCCTAACATATCAGCAATGCTATCTTCAAAGCTGTCAGGGTCCTCTCCAGTTCTAGCATTTAGATCACCTCAAATCATAATTTACATGTCACTAAAATCATGCAAAAAGGTTAATAACTGTTCAAACAACATCGTGATTCCACACTTACATTGTTTTCGGTCATACAAATCTGACCCACCAGGATACACATACTCAGATGCTATTACAACATCTTTATCCAACTTGAAAAGCTTCTTGTCAAACGCTGTGAAAATATCATTATCATTATAAATGTCCGTTCTTTCCACAAATATTTCGAATCAACGTTTCTTAATTAAAACATCAAGACCACCACGGAGTATTCCTTTTACGGACGTTTTTTACGGCATTTATGTTATGCAATTAGAGTCCTGGAAACAAATCAAAGTCACTAACCCATGTTTCTGACAGAATCACAAAATCGAAGTGCTGGAAGATTTGTACATGTATAAAGTTAAAGTCATTATATTTCTTTAAAAAACCGGCAATGTTCCAAAACAAATACCTTCATGTGCATTGTTCTAATTGGCTGTTTATTCGGGCTCGGCCATGCCCCTGTTCTCCATCGTCCGTTCCTTGCGTATCTGGTGCTGTTTCAGAGGGCGGTTCCTCTCCCCATCTAATTTTAATGCTGGTTTTTAATGCTGGTGGTCCCCAAAATCTCCATTTCAAGCCTGTCTGTACTTGCACCCAGATCCAGACGAAGTATGTGTTGTTGATTTCTTACGTCATCGATATCTGATTTTAGTCCTTTAACAGCTTCAGTCAGTTTCCTTGTATCAGACTTAACGTCTCTAATGGTTCGAGACAAGTCGTTTTAAACTGATCGAAGCTCTCTTAAAATATCATCCTTTATATTTGTAAACTCTTCTCTATCACTAGATTTATTTAATGGAACATGGTTCGGCTCTTTGTCGCAAGATAGAAGAAGATTGTGGAAACACTGCATAGTTGTAGGCAACAGAACAATTGAATACCGTACGAATCATGTGGCCAAGAGACGATAGCCGACGTCCATGCTGTATGTCGACTTCGAGTAGGAGGTGTACAAGCCAACATGGCCGACTTGCCTCAGACCTCGTGGGTGACGAAAGAGCCCTATCCTTCCCCTCCATATATCTAGTGACACCCCCCACTAAGCTGAAGACGGTCCTGGATAGACTCCACGCACCTGTATAAACGAATGATGTTATATATCGGATTCAGGTTGGTGTCATATGGCTTTTTTCACACGGTGCAGTCAGAGCTCTGTCTCCACTCCCACGTGAAGGAATTTGTGCAACGTCAACAAATACAGCTTGAGTCATGCCTGTGGTAGATTACTGATTATTGACGTCAATATATAGATAATACCAGATAACATATAATTTCACAATACCACAAGGTATGACATAAGACAATTCCACAGCTTTTATTCTGCTAAATATTATCTCAGACAGAGTGTCCACACACTCGTTTGCCCATGTCAACCACCATATTCGTCAGGACTCGTGGAGGAACGTGCACAGTGGTGGCTAACCTGTTGTCGCTGTACCAACTGCTGTAGAGTTTACCACCCCAAACAGCCAAATGTTCCATGTGATTGTTTCTGTGTTGTTTATACTCGAAAGGGAAGAGTTCAATCAACCCTGTTCCTGGAACCTGGAACAACGACAGTGCCAACCCTGCACCGTGCACGCCGATAAGAATATCCGTTTCCGTCATTAATTGTATTTGTTCTCTGACAGTTAAAGTCTCCAGTGCTATGGCTTGTACAGGAGTTCCGGGAAATGCGTTTTTCAGCGCCTGAATGAGATCATCGGAATTATTGAACTGCCTTTTTATTGTGCCCTTGACATTTCTTGGATGAGCTATGTAGTTCCTTCTCAGCACAACGGTTATCTTAATCCTGTCACAATATATTCTCCTGCCCTGGAATCCTCCTACGCGATGGGAAACCTCATACCGGAAGTCGTCGATGTAGGGAATAGGCTTTTCGCCACGCACAATTGGCACATATTTTAACTCGGGAACCAGGGCAAGCACTTCGAGGAGTGTTGTTGTTTTCAACCACCCAACTCTGACGACCTTCTTGAAGAGTAGTTCCCACAGTCCGTCTAGGCCAGTAGCTGGATGGGCGTCAAGGATGAGAATGGTGGTCTCGGCAGCAGTTCTGTTCATTTCCCGGGCATTCAGATATGCGCTGTACAGCTCTATGACGGTCCAGTACATATTTGCATAGTCGACACGAACAATTCCAACAGTCAGTCCCTCTAAACACTTCATATATTTCAGCTCTGTTCTATTTGACACAGTGATTGCGTTGGTCACATCATATACAGATGCCTGATGACGGAACGTTTTCATGTGCCTCTTCAAACCAGGCCTTCCACTGCATAGGGTTCTCAAGAAGACAAATCCAAAATTGAAATATTCCATACTTTCATTTTGATGTTTAACGTCAGCGATGTTCTCTCCTCCTCTCCTGGTTCCAAAGGCTCTGGATGGATATAAAATCATGTCTTGTAACTTCATGCCACCAGATGGCAAATGTCCCATGCTCTTTGAACATTCTCGGTCATGCCCATGTATGGTCAGTGATAAATGTTTGGTGCCAAAGAAAACTTTTGTTATTACTAAGACGAGATAGAATGCCAGAACGGCAGATGAGAGGAATTTGAATAGTGACCGGAATATTCTTGAGAAATACCTCAAAGGAAGCATAATAACTATATTAGATTAAACAATACCCTTAACTGAAAACAACCCTAAAAGATTGTGATCAGTAATTGATGGTGGAGAAAAATCTGCCACTCAGTATACAATGGCTATCTGGAGATAGTGCTTGACAAGATGGCCTGCAAAAACCATGGAGAGGACAAATCACAGATGTGCACAGATCCACTTGAATGCAGACTGTTCCTTTTCCAACTCGAGGGTTATATGCACGTTTGTGATGAGAGTAGAGGTGAAGCATCAAGGTTCACTATTGGAAGACAGAGAAAGAGATTTAACAAAATGTACCCTTGTTTATGTAGTGCAAGGCGTAAACAAAAAACCTACAGACAAGTCATAACGTGTGGATTTCTAACACCATGACAAAAAGAGCATCACTCTACATTAATCGGGGGACAAATGGATACGGTTGTCAGACTTGGTGCCTTGGTTCTTTACATGTCATCAAGTGCGTGATTCGATGCTTGTGATATCAATCACAGGACTGGTTCCAGATTCGCTTATTTACATACGGCGTAAAATAGCTGTATCTTTGGAGAGTGCGGCGTTAGATAACGAACAAACAAAGCAATAATTTCTCATCCCATGTTGCATGATCAACCTATCAGCCGCATGTTTGAAAATATGCTTCAGTTGTACACTTCAGTGATGTTATAACAATTTCTCAGGAACGCTACAAAATATTTTCAAATATAAGATAGTTAATATTGTGCACAATACTATAAACCAAAACTTAAAGTGGTGGGATTATCTCCTCAAAGGGTCAGCGTATTGAGTATAATTAACTAAATATTGTATCACGCGTCGAAGTGTCGTTCAGACCTACCTGCTCCATGAGACCATCGTCATCGCATATAAATCCAATTCAGTGACACCTGGTAAGCATAAATAACTCCTTGACAGAGCAATCGACACTTTGTTAAGCAACAAACATACTTGTGACACAAGCATTGGGAGCACATCCCACATGGGTGTGCACTATCAGCTGATGAAAGTCAGCAATTATACTTTCGCCCTTCAATACTGATCTACAAAAGCATTAATGAAACTACCCATACTTCTGATTTCCGAGGCAACAGATGTCAGGTATGCAACTTGGTCACACCTGTTGCGTTGATAAAGGTATAAAGTTCATATCCAGAAATGGAACAGATTGGACGCACTGTCACGCATCCCCGCACATAATCACATGTGTCTTCAATGGTATCGCAGATAAGATCAGCACTCTACCATATTGTATTAAACTATACATACCACATGTGTATAGGAGATAATATGGTCATTTCTAAATGCCGTATTACAATGGTGGTAATGAATGTCTTCAATAGATATGTCTATGGCTATACACCACATACTGTTTGGATACTATGATGAACAAACAATGGATATGACGAATAAACGCGTGAATTTACGGATTTTGCCCCTAAAATCGACGTGTGACTGGCTCTGACTTGAAACGTAGTTTTCTCAAAACTCACCAAGAATGTTAAATAGTATACCACACGAAGTAACACTATTTCCCAAATTTGGAGGAAAATGATTGAACTGATTATTTTGTGTTTTATTCGGCTGTGTTTAGGAACGTGGCGGAAACACCCGAGAGCCCCTGCACGTGCAGCAGTCAAGCGAGACTCGATCTGACCCAGCAGCGTTAGTCTCTCACCGGCCGGCGGGACAGTGAGTGCACCATATCCGAGTGCACCATGGCCGAGAGCTTCACCCAGTGGCTACAATTTATAAAAGTAAGGGTTTTAATGACAATACAATAGACATTCTGCTGTATGAACTGCTGTATGAACTCACCACAACAACTCGGGCAGCTTACTGCTACAGATATTTCAGAACTCGGGCTCAAATGGCACACAGAAAACTTTCAGAAAGACTTGATGACGAAGCCAAATATCAAAATCTGCAAAACCCTGTGGTCGACGGTCACACCGCGGACCATGCAACTACCCGGTCCCTAGCTGCTAACACAGTGCTGAATTCCTTACGAGACGCCCTCGGCTCTGCCCCGCTCACAGACCTGCTCCACACACAGCAAAATACAGGTTTGGCTACTCGGGACATGAGAACATCAGGTGAGAAGCCACTATTCATAGCAGACTTTGTGACTGGGCCAAAAAACTGTAAATTATGAAAACTAAGAAACTGTAAATCTACCAGAAGGTTCTCAGCTCATTGTAAGGAAAGGAAATTCAAAACTAAAGCCTGAAGAAGTTCCAAGTCTCCAATGGATGCTAGAATTCTATCCAAACTTCTCAAGGAGGGTAAATTGGACTCACGGGGGTTAATAGAATACTTAGAGTATACAGCGTGCGTTGGGGACTATCTTCAGAGTCACACAGTGTCTTCAGTCATGATGTTCGACCACATGCATAGGAAAGCACAGAGAGAGAAACACAGTAGATGGTCTGATACTGACTTTCACACAGTCTTCTACTACCTGGATAAGAGGGATCACAGGGATAAAAGAGTAACCAGATTGTCATCTCACAATAGGAGCTGTAACCCAAATGACACCATATGCTTAAACTTTCAAAACCCAAGGGGTTGCAGATTCCCACGGTGTAAAAATGTCCACGTGTGTATCCAGTGCCGCGGTCTCCACCCCCAGTGGAGAAGTGTGCCAGTTCATCCTGAATGCTATGAGGCCTTAGGACTATAGTGGAAATTTAGTGGCGAAACAATCATTCTTACATGTTTGATACAAGACTTCCTTTTGGTTCTGCAAGAAGTCCTGAAATATTCCAGCGCATATCGTCTAGTATTACAAGAATGATGAAACGGAGAGACTTTGATGTCGTTATGGCATATTTGGACGACTTTGCCATTATTAGCACAACTGAAACGCTTTGTCAAGACGCCCTTAACTGAAATCAACTTCTCCAAATATGTAGCCCCAACCAAACAAATAACATTTCTAGGCATAGATATCGACAGTGTGACGGGAACGCTTTCTCTTCCAAAGGACAAACTTTCAGAATTAACAGATTGTCTAAATCACTTCGTGACACTGAAGAAAGCCAAAAAGGTCCTGTTCCAAAAGTTGATTGGTAACCTTAATTGGGCATGTCGTGCTGTACATGGTGGACGAACGTTTCTAAGACGACTGATAGACTTGTGTAATTCTGTCAAGCATAAGCATCACTATGTAACCTAGAATGCGGAGGCGAAAGCGGATATCAGATGGTGGTGTAATTTCTGTAAGACGTTTAATGGAACTACCTTTGCCCTAAAAGGTGAAGTTGTACCCTGTCAGGAATTAGCTACTGATACGTGCGGCGACGGCGGCGGCTACTTCGGCGACGACTGGTTCTACGTAAACTGGCGCAGAGACATGGCGGCGATCAGCGAAGAACACATCAACGTAAGGAACTTGCAGCTATATATGTGGCGGTAAAGACGTGGGGCGCAAGGTTATCAGGTCGAGACGTGATAGCTTACACAGACAACTCTGTGACTATGTTCTGTATCAATAAAGGGACATCAAAGAATCCAGCATTAATGCACTTCAGTCACTTCTGGCTATCAGTCAGATACGATTTCAAGTTGACTGCGAGACACATCCCAGGCGAGAAAAATACAATTGCTGACAATCTCTCAAGATTACATCTACCAAGAAATGCAAAATGGTTAAAAGATTTCACCAAGGACTCTATTATCCATCACATGACAATTGAATCGTTGTTCTACTTACGGGACCAATGGCATCAGACTTGCAATGTTTAGATGCAGAGATCAAGCAGTATAAACAATCGGCGTACGTAACAAACACTAAGAAAACCTACTCTTCCATGCTAAAGGCCTTCTTGCGCTTCGGCCTATACTACGGTCTAACGCCGGTACCTGCCCACCCTCAAACTGTTCTACGCTACACGGCTTTCTTGGCACGATCGCTCAACGCTACCGGCATTCCTAACTACCTGAACATAATTCGTCTTATCCACCTTGAAGCAGACCTCGCCAATCCTCTGGATGACTGGACTCTAGCTAATGTCAAGAAAGGTATTCTGAGTCTGAAAGGGAAACCACATCACACCAGAAATACTACTCGCTATAAGACAAAAGTTGGATCTCTCTACCCCTTCAACACAGCTTTCTGGGCAGCCTGTGTTGTCGCCTTTTTCTCTTTTTTAAGAAAATCTACCCTACTGCCAGACGGTAAGGTCCACGTAAACTCTTCTAAGCACATATGCATTAATGACGTCACCTGGCAGAATGACAAAGCGCTCCTAACCATACGTCACAGTAAAAAACTTCAGTTCGGCCAGAGAGTGTTGCAGATCCCTCTATGCGCTATGCCAGACTCACCTCTGTGTCCTGTTTCGGCTCTAACTGCTCTACAGGAATTACAGACTGGACTTCCACGAGACCAACATCTCTTCTCCTTCTGGAAAGACGGTCGAGTTCAAACCCTGAACCACTCGGCGTTTGTGACGTCACTGCGAGATGTGTCACTGGGTATAAACGCTATGTCACCTTAAAACCAGAAACACATTCTAAGTTTGCCCGTGCCTTGGTTGTGGCAGCAACTACAAGACGTTAATGTTGCAATGTTGGGGGGCTGGAGGTGTATTTTAAATGTATATGTCTATATAGTCGTCAATTAAAAATTGCCATTTACCCCAAACATTGTCGTGTGATATGTTTGCATGCGAATGAAGGCAGAGTTAAATCCATATAAGGAAATAAACGTATCATCAGAGGCCTAAATGACCAACGTTCTGAATGAAAGTTTCATTTGCGTCAAATTTACATTTATTTCACAGGTCATAACATAAAAGAGCAATTGAGAGACTATGATCAAATTTGACCAAGGT